CTTGTCATTCAGTGCTTCTTTGTCGGGCACCCTACCATCTCCAGTGCATTTGTTTGGTGTGTTCTGGGATGTTCCATTAGAACATGACCTCCTTGACACCAAGAACTGATGATTATGGAGCTCATGGGGAGCAGTGGCAGATGCATTTGGGATTCTCTCCTGGCTCCCAGACATAGAATACATTGGAAAGCTTTTTAAAAATAGCGGTCTGACCACTCCAGCTTGTCATAGAGCAGATTTGGGGTGTGGAAGCCAGTGGTGTCCCACCCTGACAGAAATGGGGGCCCCTAAGCTGTCCATGAGACTCCCCGGGCTGCGTCTTGACTTAGAAACCTCCGAGGAACACGCGTCTGTGCCGAGGCAGAGGATCACCCCCCGGGTGTACCTATCTGCCTTTCCTCTGAAGGACACGCTCTGTAGAGTGACCTGGGGCCCTCCCGGGTCAGGGTCTCGGTGCATGGGTGAAGCCAGAAGACAGACGCAGCCTGACTTCTGGAGAGCAAGGGTGCCTTGTGTGTGCTTGCCATCTTCACTTGCTTTGGGGTGCCTGATTCTGGAGGTGCAAAGAGGAAGGGACGTTTTGGGGGAACAGCGTGTGCTGCATTCATGTGCTGTCTCCCCAGCAGAATGGCCGCTTGGGGAGGGCAGAGTCTTCGCAGCCATTACCGAGTCAGCCCGTCATTCATATTGCAGCCTCGCTTGTTCCCGGGAGAGGTGCTCTGTGAGGACGCTCCCAGTCTGTGTGTCGGTGACTCTCATCCAGACTGTGCACGTGGCGGGTCTCGATGTTCTCTTGGCTGCCTCTGCCGTGACTCTGGGCCCTTCCCGTTCTTCAGATCCATGTCTTGTCTGTCCATTGCTCGGCACCCTCTGGGGCGTGTTGCCACCAACACCCGCCTTGTCCTGTGACGGAGCCCATCTGGCCACATTGCGTCTGTTCTCCTGTGCCATTTCTGTCTCTCTTGGGAGCACCCTGAAGGTTGTGGTGCCAGCATCCATGCTTGGCAGTCCTACTGTCCTTGGTGGAGCAGACGGCTTGTCTTCTGTTTGGGATCTTCCTTCCCATTTCATGCCTCCTTGTCTTCTGGGTGCCTTGGCTTAGTTGGCTATCTTTCAGGCCGTCTTCCATGCCTTTGCTTTTCTGTTCTGTGAGATAACACTGCTCATGATCATCTACCATCTTTCTTTGTCAGATGGTCCGGCATTGCCTTTGGCCGCCTCTCCGTCTGGAAACTTAAGTCATGTAGTTATTGACTGAAGGGCCTTATTGGGACATTTAACTTACTGGTTAGACTTCTGTCTACAATTATCAGGGTCTGTTTTAATGTGATTTTTGTATCTTTTCCCCAAATAATGGGGAACTTTTTAACTAGTTCAAGGCGAAGGTATTTCACTTGTGTGCCATCTGTTTTCCTCATTTGTTTTCTCTTTGCTTTTCACTCATTGTGATCCTAGCTCAGCTTGATGGTCTGATTGCCCACAGCCTGGAGCAGCACCAACACTAATGACCGGTCAGTCCCTGGCCTTCGTCAGTGCTTGGTGGAAGTGGGGAGCCTTGGGGTCATGTGCCCAGCCCTCATCTTTGCCCACATTGGCACCTAAGGCCACGAGTGCTGGAGGAGGGGCCGAGGCACCTAGAGGGTCTTCTCTAGCTACTGCGTGTGCCACAGTTCTTCTTGCAGTCATCTGTCTTACCATTGGTCCTCTTACACACGATCCCTCAATATCCCGTGAAATCAGGGTTCTGGCTGCCTTCGGGTGCTGAATAAAATGGCCTTCCTTCCCCACCTCCTTTCCTTGTTGCTTTAAAGTGGGCTTTCCATTCAGCAGCCGCTTCCTGGCTCCCTAGAGAATGTGCCGGGATTGGGGTGGGGGGGTGGGTGGGGATGAGTCAGACAGAACTTAGTTCATCTAGCACTGAGTCCACTTGTTAATTGGGCAGGGTTTCACATTTAGAAGACCAATTAAATTAAAGTTTCTTCATAGTCAAAAAACTGATTCTTTGCCCCCTCTGCCTGCCTCCCCACCACTGTGCCACCGCAACTGCCGAAATGGAAGGTGGCTGGGTGGGACTGAAGACCACCTTATAATTGGATTTTTTTCATGGGTTAACAACCTGTGAAACCTGCCCCCCCTCCCCAATCCCCCTGCCCCAAAACCAAATCATCACAAAGTGATGAATCTGCCAGCCCCTGGCACTGCACATCTCCCTTGTCTGTTAGGGTGGCACTCAGAAAACAGACTAGGTCTCTCGCCAGGGCCTTCCCAGCATGGTACAGTTGGCCGGAGCTCCAGCTTTGCCGGTCTGGCCCATGGGGAGACGTTGGAGTGGGACTTTGTGAAGGGGCTCTGCCTGAAGTGGACCATACAGGAAGTGTGTTGTGGGAAAAAGCAAGGAATAATAACTAGGTCCAGGGCTGGCCTGTTGCCTGGGACCTGTAGTGAGGCCCAGAGCAAGGCCTCCAGCCTTAGAGAGAGCTCAGGCAAGAATCCTGCTGCGAGAGAAGGCCAGATGGATCACTGTTGTCCCAGTGCTGAAAATAATGCCCAGGGGCCAGGAGCACAGACTCAGGAATCGCTCAAGTGTCACAATGTCCTCTTCGGGGCTTTAGCCTCTGCTTCCACCCTGTTACGATGTCAGAGAGCACCCCAGCTATCGCTTTCTGTGATGAACCGCATGGGAGTTAGCTAACCGTGTCATCCGTGATTCTGTCCACGTCCATGCTGCACACGTTCCCAGACCAGGACAAGGACAGTCCCCTTCAGCCCTCGAGATGAGAATGTCCTCCCAGCTGACGTCAACGTGTGGCAAGACACTGGCTGCGGGCATTCAGCCCGCTCCTGGTTGTGCACCATCCATTCTCATTGGACTCTCTGCTGCCTTGGGCTGGGAGTAGGCGAGGTCTGAAGGAAGCTCTGAATCTTTGAGGCACAGCCGAGCCTGAGTGGGATCTTTGTTGTTTTAGAGCTCAGCAAAACTTGCGGTCTCAGGCCTTTCACCTGACTTTCTTGGGCTGTTTTAGGTCATCGAAGGAAGTCCTTGTTCCAGCAAACAGAGCACTGGATGCTAAGGGCAGGATAGGCTGGGTAGGCTTCCTTTGAGTCTGGTTCTCAGGAGTTCAAATCTGGGACTGTTAGCTGAACGCCTCTTAACACAGCCCAGTGTGTATAGAAGAAAGAGTAGAGACTTTCGAGGCAGCAGATCATTTGGGGAGGCATCCTGAGACATGGAGAGAGCCCCAGCCCTGGAGGCAGAAGATGGCTTCGGATTCTCCTTCCAATGCGTGCCATGACTTCCTCAGCTGCAGCTCCCTCACCTGCACAGTGAGGGGTTTGGACCAGGCCAGAAGTATCCAGTGTGTGTCCCTCGGGCCACTCCCACGTGCAGCCAGATTGAAATGGAATTGGGGCATATTTAACAAGAGAAATAAATACCACAGAGTGTGGGTGATGTCCGGGGGCCCTACAGGGCCCTTGGTGAATGGTTCCTAGCCCCCGTTGGCATAGAGCTTGACACCACCTGGCTGGATGTCCTCAGTGCTCTCTTCCCTCTCGGTCTCGGTGTGTTCCTCGCCCAGTGGAAGGAGGCCTTTCTGGCTGTAAGTTTGCTCCTCTGTAAAATGATGATCCTGGGAGCCTGCAAAAGATTCGAAAGATGCACAAGATAAGCACTTGTCAACCTTAAGAGGCTTTGGAGCTGGCAAAAAAGAATCAGATCTGGGTCTAAGGAGGAATCCCTTCTCTTTACCCAGCAGAGAGGCCAGTTAGTCTCCAGGAAGAATCGGAACTAGGATTTCTGTAGCATTTTCCTTGTGTTATCTCATTTGAGCCTTGCCTCAACCCTGGGAGATAGATGCTGTTATTATCCCCATTTTATAGATGAGGAAAGTGAAGCAAACACAGGTGAAGTGACTTGCCCAGGGTCATAGAGCTAGCCCAGTGAGGCTGGATTTGAACTCGGGTCCCCCACATTCTGTGTGCTGTGCCACCTTGCTACCCACATAGGCCACAGGGCTGGCCACCCGTGGCGGTGCCTGACCCTCGCCGGCCATCATAGTTGCCCAGGGTCCAACTCTGGGGGGAACTCATTTTCCAGTGGGAGATAAAGGCTTCTCGTTCCCCTCTTGCTTCATGAGGAAAGTTGCTAAGTAGAGTAATGTTGCTTTTAGCTCTTGACAAGGGTTTCCCCAAAGAAGGGAGAGAAATTACTGTACAAGCATGAATCAGATATGGAACAGGCAGTTTCTTTCCTTAGAGAAAAGGGAATTCTAAGCAATAAAGTGCCGGATCACCACAGTTGAGAGCAGCCTAGACATCTGACTAGCAGGGAATCAACTTGTCCTTGGAAAGATCAAAAGTTTGCAGGGAAGCTCTGTATCCATGCCCTCTGAGGAGGCCTGCAAAGTAGGGATCCAGCCTCTGCTTACAGACCTCCAGTGGTCCCCACCGCTGCTGTCTGCTTGCCTCTGGAGCAGCTGATGGCCAGTTGAGTATCTCATTATAGTAGAGATGCTTCTCCCCTCAAGGAGTCACATCTGGCTTTCTGCCGTTTCTGTTTCTGATTCTGCCCAGTCTTGTAAGGAGCCACGCAGAACAAGCCTCGTCCAAGCTCTTCCCTGTCAGGCCCTCCTACCACATCCACCTCTGCGTCCCCATGACCTTCCCTCCAAGCTTGTCTCACAGCCAGACAAGGAAGAGGCCAATGACAGGATGACCCCAGGTGATGCCCATCAGATTTAGTGCACACAGATGTTTTTAAAAAATCTGCCTGATGCGTTTTATACAGCTAAGAATTCTAAATGTCTCCAGAGAGTAGTGAGGGTAATTCTCCCATTAAATAATTTTCCCCAATTGTGGCTCTGGTCTCTGAAATTCTCTGGGATCCCTGTCATCCTCACATCCTCTTCAAGTGCCACGGGTGGGATGATGAATCTAGAACCTAGGTGTCGCAGCCTTGAAGTGGAACGCCATCTCAGAGATCTGTCTGTTGTTTGGCCTAGGATTTCTCCAGTGATGATACCAAGCTGGAATATAATGTGGACGCTGCCAACGGCATTGTCATGGAAGGTTATCTGTTCAAACGAGCCAGCAATGCCTTCAAGACTTGGAACAGGTAATATGTTTGGAATACTCACATCTGCAGATATGCACACACATATATGCACATCATCTTCGTTAGGTAACATGACTAGCTAATTTTTAAGCATTCACACTTGATCACACAGGTTGCATTTTAAGGAAAGGGGTAGGGAAGTTATTATTATAACGTGAATCTTAAATTCCAAAAATTAAGAAAGAGTCCATTTTTTAATGTCAATGATACCAAAAAGTTTACCGGTTCTCATAAGTGACTAGATTTTTAAAAGTCTTTTCTGCACAATAGGGCCACCACATTGGACCTGCAATATCTGGTGAATAAGTCCCTTACACATTGTGTGTAAGTCTTAATCAATGTGAACCACCCCATGAAGGGAAGCTGCCAACAAGGTTTGGTTTGGCTGGGGCTGCCTGGGAAGGGGGCTACCCTCTGGCTCTGTGGAGGGCTTTAAGTAATAGTCAGAGGTTTTCATGGGGCCCCTTTTGAAGTTGTGAGCTTCTTGCCAGCTCAGATTCCGTGATCCTGTGGAAGTGATAGTCCCTGTGTGCTTTCATATCATTCAAGGAACACGCCATGGGGACATCATCTGAGAATCAGTGATAGGGGGCTTAGATCTGAAGGCTGAGGCCCTGGGATGCTTGGAGCTTACAAGCTGTAGGACCAGCTTACCAGGGGACTTAGAGTTTTGTTCCAGATCCCTAAGTGGAGCTGACTTGGACCCGGTTTGTTTTTCTCTTAAAAGAAGAGTGCAAACAAACGACAGTTAATGGAGCATCCAAGGGAGCTGGGTTCTCTTCACTCTCTGTTTTACTTTCCTTTTTGAGTAGAGTGTGCGTAGTTGTTTTTCAGTGTCGTCTTCAAGGTTTTTAGTTTTTAATTTAGTTTAATGTTAAGACAGACAGGAGAGAAATGTAAAATTTTGTTTATTTTGGGTGGCATATATAATAAGTACAATTTGATATGGTAGATTAGCCTTCGGTGTAGCCATCTTTTTTGTTACTGATTCTGTTCAAGTCTGTAAGCATTTCTTAAGCTCTTACTGTATATTCCAGACCCTGTGCAGGGGATACAAAGAAAGACTTCATTCCTGTTCACCAATGTTTATGATACGTTGCACAGACTTCCCCTTTGAAGAACCCAATTTTGGCTTCCTGGAGGGTTCTCATTCTCTGTGGGATCCATGTCCTTCTTGGAAATTTTCTTCTCATGGCAGTGACTACTGACCATTTCTCTAGAGTGTGAAAGCCTTCAGACACTGAACACAGGAGAGTCTGTGCCAGTCACTGACTTGGTTCTTCTCCAGTCATATTATTTTAATGGGATAGGACTTTGCTCCAAAAAGATTGGCTGGGCACTTGGCAAGAGGGCAGCTCCCCTGTCTTACTGCCCTGTACAGGGCTGAGAATGATGGCCTGGAGTCATCAGGAGCCATCCTTTCCATGGCCCTCATAAGCCAGGAAGGAACCTTGTCGAAAGAAATGGTGGTGAGTGTACACCCCACTCACTCACCCGTTGTGCAGCATGGCAGGGCTCCTGGTAACGGCCCACTGTTATGTCATCGGGACTTCTCAAGATGGCGGACTTGCCAAGTGCAACCCAGGAGGTGGAAATTCCCCAAGCAACTGCAGTGAGAAAGGAGCCCAAGTCCATGGCCTGGGAAAGTGCCCTCTCTTTGGGGAAGAAAATATCATTTTCCTTTAGACTGTAATTTTATTATTGTTATGAACTGATAGAAAGAGTAAATAAAGACTTAACTATTTAGAGAATGGAATTTTCAGCTCCTCAGTCAGTCCAGAGCAGTGCTGTGTGATGTAGAGGGAGCCAGTGTTAGAGTCAGAAAGATCCTGGTTCCAGGGTGACTTCTGCCCCATTCTGTCTGGTCTTTCCTTTCATCCAGGTTCTACACTGATGAAGTCATGGGGCTGCCACTAGGGAGAGCCACTCTCCCAGGGAGCTTCTGAGGCCTGTTTGTAAAGCGCTTAGCTCATTGTCTGCCTGCCTGCCTTCCTAAAGTTACAACCATTATTTTAATAGGTGGACCACTTGATTGCAGGGTGCAGTTATAACTGTGGAATCTTGTAATTTGAAATAATAGCTATTAATTTCTGTTTTCAAGAGAAATCTGAAAAAAAGTACATTTCCACTTCATCTCCTTGATCCTGATACATTTCAGAATGTACCATGATGTTCATTAGGTCCATCCCGTAGTTTTGACGGGTGTTGTAGTTTGGAAAGACTGGCTCTTTTCATCTAAACAGCTAAAATAAAGCAAATAGTGACAACAGGATTCAGAAACAAGGATGTCACTATTTTCTCTAGATGAAAGAAGGAAATTTCCACAGACCTCACTTAAAACGGGAAGGGATTTGGGGAATGAGAAATTGGCAAAAAACTAGTGGGAAACTTGTAGCTGACTTGGAGAGAAGCAGGAGCCCAGGGGCCGCAGAGATTCTGCCAGCCCTATAGTCAGGAGACCCTTCACAGGCCGGAGCCCCTGAGGAGCCACAGAGACTCTGCCAGCCCTACAGTCAGCAGACCCTTCACGGGCAGGCGCCCCTGAGGGGCCCTGAACCTCTCCATGCTTCGGGGGTTTTTTTCTGTATGTTGGGGGCAGGCAGTAATAGCACCTTCCTCCCTGTGCTGCAACGACCCTCTCTCAGTGCTGACTTGGAGCTGTCGGTCAGCATTCCTGGCGCTGAATCAACGGTCCCCTTTGTGCTTTTTGGCTTGGTGATGTGCTCTGACCTTTCTTTGGGTGACTCGCCCTTTGGCTGGCTCAACTTCTTTCCCATGCTCCCAGCTTTTATCCTCTGAACTGGAGAGGGTGTGTTGGAGGTGGTACCCATACTTCAGATGCCTGGAGCTGGGGTTCAGCTGCCAGAAGCTGAAGCTTCTTTGTCTTCCAATCCACTGATGCACTTGAGTCCAGAAAGAGGCGTTCAGGCACCACAAGACCCAGGCCGAAGCCCTGTGTACACACTCGGCGAGAGCAGCTGGTGTAGCCCTGGCAGAGTACAGGGTGGATGTGATCTAACTGGACGGGAAGCAGTTTGTTATTCAAGGCCCTGTCGGCTCCATTTTACAGAGGGGGAAAACGGAGGCTTAGAGAGGAGTTGGGATTTGGTTACACACTTTGTAAGCATCAGAGGCAGGATCTGAACTCAGAACTCTTAGCTCCAAGGGCTGCACATGGTGCCATGCTATATCCAGCTCTGTAAAGTGAGGGGCAGCATAGCCCAGTGGAGAGCGTGTGGCATCTGGAGTCAGGATGCCCAGGTTTGAATCCCACTTCTGACACTGTCCAGTTGGTTCACTGTTCTGAGCCTCTGTTTCCTCATCTGTGAAATGGGGATAAAAATGCACTGCTTGCCCCACAGATTAGATTGGTTGAGAGGAGAGCACCCAGGTAAAGGTGCGAGCTGCTTTTATGTTGTAAACATTGGCCAAGGTTCCTCTTCCTCTGTACAATGCTTCTTAGTAAAAGGTCAGTTTTTAAAGGTAGATGAAAAACTACAAAGAAAGCAGGCTGTGTAGACCTGATATTCTCCTGCCATCATGTTTAGTGGTGCTTTCACGGGGCCGCTTGAATTCCATTCAGCCAGGAGTGGGATCCCGCTGACCAGGCTTTGGTCAGAGAGGATTCCAGGCTGTGTGGAGCTCCCAGTGTCTAGGTGTGCATGTGTGTGTGACTGCAGTCCTGGAGAAATCATTAGAAAAGAAAACATCCGTGGTCAGTGCAAAGTGAGGTGAGAAGGGCCGGGGTTTTTACTGACCTTTTGGGGCAGGAGGGGACTGGCTCAGGGAGGAATGTGCTTTTTGGGACGGTTTTTTAAACAAAGTAGAAAGTCTGGTGGGGGCCGGTCCATTTCAGGCTTAGGAAGCTGAAGGAGGACCATGTACATGTGAGGATTTGTGGGGACAGTAAGTGGTCTGCTTTGAGGGCGCAAGGAGGAATAAGCGTTTGTGTAATGCAAATAGATGTCAGAGAAGACTGATCTCTTACCCCTAAAAGTGGGCTCTGAACCCTGTGCCCCACCAGCCTTCACTTTCTCTTTTGTTGTTGTTGGGTTTTTTTTTTTTTTGGTGAGGCATTTAGGGTTAAGTGACTTGCCCAGAGTCACACAGCTAGTAAGTGTTATGTCTCTGAGGCTGGATTTAAACTCAGGTCCTCCTGATTCCAGGGCCGGTGCTCTATCCACTGTGCCACCTAGCTGCCCCCTGAGGTTTGTTTTTTGTTTTTGTTTTTTTTTTGCTAGGCAGTGGGGTTAAGTGACTTGCCCAGGGTCACACAGCTAGTAAGTGTTATGGCTCTGAGGCTGGATTTGAACTCAGGTCCTCCTGAAGCCAGGGCCAGTGCTCTATCCACTGTGCCATCTAGCTGCCCCTCAGCCTTCACTTTCTAAGAAGACCGCACAAGCTAACCTGTGAGCTTGCAACTGCACCCCACCCCCTGACCTCCCCTACTCCTGACACCTTCCTTCTCCCTGTCCTTCTTCTCTCAGTGCCATGGAAAACCAAAAAGCAGAAGCTTGCTCTTGCTGGGACTGAAGCCTGGCAGTGTGTGAGAGGGAGCAACAGAGTGGGTCACCTGAGGGTGGGTCACCAGAGTGTGCACGGATCTGCCAACTCTGCCCGAACCAAAGGGCATAGCATCTCGCTGGGGCCATTCTGACCTCTCTTCCCTCCACCCCCCATGCAGAAATCACTTGGGGCAGATACTAAGGCTAGTAATGTGACCCACCTGGGAAGAGACTGAGTCAAGCTTGAGGTCTAATCCCCAGGGGAAATAGCATTCAAAGGGGTAGGAGTCAGAATGTGACAATAGTGAATGTAAAGAAAAAATGGGAAATAACCCAAGAACTCAGAGGGAAGAAGGCTCAGTTAAAAGACCTTGAGTGTAAGCAGATAAACCAATAGGGAAGATATTCATAACAGAAGAGAATATGGCCTCCAGATCAGTAAAATGATTCTAGACATCTGTGAAGAGGTATTATAAATCACAGGAAAATGAATTA